GAGAGGGCAGCTCCTCTTCCAGGAGCAGTTCCGCTCAGCTTACTGAATTACGGTACGCAGGAACACAAGCCTAACTTTAATGGCTCTGTAAGAGCAGCTGTCTGCCTAATAAACAGAAACCTGTGCATTCACAGGCACACGCACACCAGGTGAGGTTGAAATATCGACCATCGCTGTGCTTTACTCGGCAAACGGCACGAGAACCTGCCACGTGTCACACAGGCTGAGGCTGGTGAGCTGCTGGCACAGCTGCCCAGAGACGCTGTGCGCACCCCGTCTTGAGGGGTGTTCAGATCCAGGCTGGATGGCACCCTGCGCAACCTGACCTGGAGCCTGATCTCACTGTTGGCTGCAGCAGGGAGTTGGAACTGGGTGATCTGTGAGGCCCCGTGTGCTGAAAGGCAGCCACGTGGTCTCCCCAGAGCCTTCTGCTCTCTGGGCTCAACGAGCCCCAGTCTCTCAGCCTCTCTCCAAAAGAGACGTTCCTGATGCTGGCCTTTCAAGTCCCGTTGCTGATGTCCAAGTTTCGTGCCCATCGCGTGCTGACGCTGTTGTGCCAATCCATGGGCTCAACAGGGAGAACAAAGACACCAATGTCTTTGGGACAGGCTTATTTTATTGCCTATGACAACGTAACACGAGCAATAGTGTTTACTGGCAGCGTCTGTAGCCAGGAGAGAAGCTTAACAGACAAGGCAATAAGCGAGGCAGTGGGCCTACTCATGGCCACGTGAGCTCAGCGATGGAGAAAGGTGCATCACCACCTGCCCCAGCACTTTGCCATCAGCCAGACCCGCAGCCACTGGGGAGCCCTGTTTGCAATGAGGATCTGTGGGGACATGGATTTGGGATGGGAATGGGGTGGGGGATGGGGACGAGGTGTGGAGGGAGGGATACGAGATGGGTTTGAGATGGCTATGGGGTGGATGCGATGGATATGGGATGGGATAAAGGTGTGGGATAAGGATATGGGATGGCTATGAGATGAGGCTGTAGTGGTTATGGGGCCATAGGGGCTACTGGTGGGACATCTCCAGATCATCCTAGAGGCTCCTCAGAGCTCCTGGGCCCATCCTCGGAGTTTCCAGATCCTTCAAGGGATCCCCGGGAGCATCCTGGTGACCCCCTGGACATCAAGACCCCACTGGGACATCTCCAGACCCTTCAGGAAGAACCCAAGGATCCCCCTGGACCCACCTGGGAACACCCCCGCATGCCCCAAACCCCTCGAGGACATCTGCAGATTCTTCTGCATGACTCCAGGGGTGGATAGGGGAGGTTGCGGGAGGGAGAAAAGGGGCTAGCGAGGCTTCTAGAGGTGGAAAGAAAGTCTGGGGGTGGATAGGGGGTTGTGGGGAATCTACGGGGGGAAAGGTGTGAGTGGGGCTTCTGTGAGGTGGAAAGAGGGTCTGGAGGTGGAGAAAGGGTGGAAGAGGGAAACTGGGGGATTGTGGTGGGCTAGAAGCCCTGTGATGTGGAAAGGGGACCTGGGGGTGGAGAGGGGATTGTGAGGGGGAAAAGAGGAGAAAGAGGCTTCTGTGAGTGGAAAGGAGGGTCTGGGGGTGGAGGGGTACATTGTGGAGGGGAACATTGTGGAGGGCAACTTGAGGAGTTGAAAGGGGGAAAAGGGGTTTTTGTAGGGCAGAAAGGGCAGGTCTGGGAGTGGATGGAGGATTGTGAGGAGAAAAAAAAAAGGAGTGGGGTCTCTACAGGGAGGAAAGGGGGTCCAGGAGTGGTGAGGAGGTTGTGGGGGGCTTCTATGGGGTGGGAGTCTGGGGTAGACCTCAGGGGAGTATTTGGGGGGAGAAGAGGGGAGTGGGGTGCCTATGGGGTTGAAAAAGAGTTGGAGGGGTATTTAGTGGGTTGTGGAAGGGAAAGGGGTGAACAGAGCCTCTGCAAGGCAGAAAGCGCATCTGGGGCTGGAGGGAGGAAGGGGTGGGAGGAAAGAGCCAGGGGTTGTGGGGGGCTTCTATTGGGCAGAAAAGGAGTCCGGTTGGGGGGGAATGGAGGTCAAAATGGGGGAACTGACTCCAGGGGTCAGGGAGGAGCACACGGGGGGTACAGGGGACTCCAGAGATCAGAAAAAGGGGTCAGAAGGTGGGGGGAGCAAGGAGGACACGGGACCCTGGGGGCCAAAGAGAAGGTAATGGGGGGTGATGGGAGACTCTAAGGATCAGAATGGGGGAAATGGAGTGGGGGTAGCCGGGAGGAGGAGAGGGGATTCTGGTTGTCAGATAGAGGGGACTGAGAAAGTGGGGGGACTCTAGAGCACAGAATGGGGAGACTCGTGACGGGGTGGAGGGACATTAGAGATCAGAACGGGGGACAGGGGAGGGATCGGGAGGGCGGGGGGACAGATAGGTGGACCCTGGGGGTCAGAATGGGGGAGGCGCAGAGGGGAGGGCTGGAAGAGGACTACAGGGATCAGAACGGGGGAAACGGAAGGGGGAAAAAGGGGGAGGGAGGCGCAACCCCGGGGGTCACACAGAGGGACGGGGGGGGTTGTGGGCGATCCGTGGCAGGGGGAGGGGAGGAGGGCAGTGAAACGCACGGGGTGGGGGAGGCGGGGAGACGCAGGGCAGCCGCCCCCGCCGAGCGGAACCCCGAGCACCACAGTGACGTCACGAGGCCAACGCAGAGCGGCACGCGGCCCCTGCAGCACCTGAACCCCGGCCCCCGCCCCGGCGCCCCCCGAACAGCCACCTGCAGAAGCCGAGGCGGCTCTCGGAGGCCCGGCTGCTCAGCACGGCCGCCTCCTGCTCGGCTCGCGGGGCTGATGACGTCACTCAGCGGGGACGGCGCGGCGCCACAGCGACGGAGCAGCGAAGGCGCGCTGGAGCGCTGCCGCTAATGGCGACACCGCACGCATGCGCTGTCGCCGCGGGGATGGCTGTCGCCAGGGCACGCCTGCTTGAAGCAAGATGGAAAACGGCGCTCGGAGACTGCGGCTGCGGGGCAGCAGCTCAGCACAGCGCCGCCCGCGATCGGAGCCGAGCGAGAAGCGGAGGCGCTGGCCGGACTCCGTGCCGGGCTCGAACGCGAGTCGATCCGTGGGATCGCTGCCTCTCGGGGCCGCCCGGCTCAGCCAGGAGCCGCTCCCGGACACCGGGCGGGTCCCGCCGCTCGCGGTCAGCCGCCGCTTCTCGCAGCCTGGCGGCGCCTCGCCGCAACGACGGAGGACGGCTCGGTTCCGCCTCCGAGAACAGCTGGATTCCGACGGGGGACGGACGGGACCGGCGGCGGTGCCTTCCCCTGACCTCCCGGCGTCCCCGAGGCACGGGGCGGCGGAGCGCCGCTTTCTCCGCGCGGAGCCTCGCGGCTCCGCCATCCCGCCGGCCCCATCGCCATCGCGGCGGCCTCACGTCCGCAGCCGCCGTTGGCGGGGTGCCCGCTCTCGGCCCCGCCCCCTCGGCTCTCCCATTGGTCAGTCCGCCGAACGGGGCGGGCAGTCCGGGCGGGGTCCTTTGGGCTCGGTCATTTTGTCATCACCGCGCGCATCCCCGTGGCCCCGCCCGGCTGCCCGCGGCGATGCCTGTCGTCGTGCGCCCGCTCCGCTTCCGGGGCCCCGGCTGCGGCTGCGGGGACGTGGGGGACCTCAGCGAAGCCGAGCCCGCGCCGCCCCGGCCCCGCTCCGCTCCGCTCCGTGCTTCCTGGAGAGCGGCGAGCACGGGCTGGCGGCCGCCGGCAGGTGGGGGAGCGGGGCGTCCGGGCGGGCGGCGCGGCCCGGCGATGGCGCTGGGGAACTCGCTGGAGACGAGCGGCTCCGCGGGCGCCTTGATGTCGCGCTCCAGGCGGCGGTCGCGATGCCGGCCCGAGGCCGGCGCTGTGCGGAGCGGGACACTTCTACGTGCGTGCTGGAACTTTCCTGCTGGAAACAGCCCAGAGCAGCGCGGCACGATGGAGAGATGCGTGTGAACTCGCAGCCTGGTGTTACCTGAACAGTTTCCATGTAAGTCCCTGTTCAGTTTGTGCCTGCAGTGGTTGCAGTTGAGTGCTCTCGCTGTGCACGCACTGAACGCCTGCGTTCCAAAAACTAGCTGCTGTTTTTAAGGCTGTCTCCTCGCCAAATCTTACCCTTCTGTACTTGTTCAAAAGATTTCAAGTGGTGTGAAGAAAATCTCAGCTGTTTCACTTGTCAGCAGTGCAATGACTCTGAAGGGCTAACGAGTGTATTTCCTGTAGGCTGTTCCCTTCTCTGTAATGCAGCTGCATTAACTAACATTAAGGTTATTGATACGGGAGGGAGGGGAATGAGCTGGGTAGCTCTCACACACTTGTTGCATAGACAGCAGAGCTTGATCAAGCTGAATTCTGTGCTTTATGGAATACAATCAGTTTTCCTTTTGCACAAGTGCTTGTGCTCAGAACATCGCTTTGTCTTGTGCGCTCTTACAGCTGTTTGCAATTGTTCAGTTACTCACCTTGTGTCCTTTCCTGAAAAGAAACAAGCTTGTTTCCTAACTTGTAAGACTAAATGAAGAGATTTGCTTTTTATTGTCAAGAAGCTGTAGCAATTCTTTTCTTTCCTCGCCAGATTCCTAAACCAAAGTCAAAACTAATAAGAGGAGATGGTGCTGGGCAAGATGTGCTGGAAATGTTGGCCTGCGACCGAAAAAGCCAGTCTGGTAATGAAACTAGTAATTACAAATGTTCCGTAGTTCCGTTTTAATCTTATGAGCAGCTAATGTCAGAGTTAAAGGCTTGTTAAAGAGCACGCTTGGCGTCTTGGAACACGCCATAAAACGTTCTGCATTTTGGCTGCGTATGAATTGCAAGCAGTGGTTTGATCCTGACACGTACTGGGCTTTTTGTTTTTGTCTCCAGGACGTTAAGATAGAATTTGACTTTCAGTGTCTCCTAGTCTGCTGGTTTCTGCCTACTAATACACTATTTGTACGCACTGCTAGTCCCAAGTGTAAAAGAAAATAGTGCTCTTTTCCTGTCACTTCTGTTCCCTTCTTTGTTCCAACAGGTTTGCTGCTT